TCCCAGTGGCTCAGGAGGTTGAGGCAGGAGGATCACGAGTTCAAAGCCAGCTTCAGCATTATTGAGGTGCTAAGCAATTCAGTGAGACCCTGTCTCTAAATAAAATACAAAATAGGGCTGGGGATGTGGCTCAGTGGTCGAGCACCCCTGAGCTCAACCCCCAGTACCTCCCCCCAAAAAAAATTAAAAAGCAGGAAATACTCAGAATTTATTATTTATTTATTATTACATTTTACTGGGCTGCCTTTAAGGTACTATTGTGTTTCTGTATTACAAATACTATATATTGGTGTGCTGCTCTTCCCAATGCTGCATTCCATCACATAATGTTGATAACTTTAAAGTGGGAGTACTTTCACTATGGAATTGACAAAAATGGCAAATTAGGGTCCTCCCCTCATGTTGGAGAGCCAGTTTTGAAACATTTACCAGCATACTACTGGCTGTTGGGATATTTCATCCTGCACTGCTGGGACTCCAGTCCACTGGAAGGAAGGCTTCTGGCAGCCAGACTGTGGTTTCCTGGGCTTGTTAGATATGACCTAGATTATTCCCTCTGCCTAGGCTCTTCCATACTTTGACCGACTAGACTATGTGTCCATGATGTGTAATGAACAGGCCTATTCGCTAGCTGTGGAGAAGTTACTAAACATCCAGCCTCCTCCCCGGGCACAGTGGATCCGAGGTATGCTCTGTCACTTATTCTTGCTGCCCATTATGAGCACAGTACCATGCCTTCTCTACCCTACCCCTTCTTCACCTTAGGAACATTGAATTCAAGGTTGGTATTCATTATTCTGACCCCAGGCTCTGTCCAGGCTGTTTTCAGAATGAATCCTTGGCTGCTATATCCTTCTGTTCTTCTTGTCTTTGCCTCTCCCCAGTGCTGTTTGGAGAAATTACACGACTCTTGAACCACATTATGGCTGTAACCACACATGCCCTGGACATTGGGGCCATGACCCCTTTCTTCTGGATGTTTGAAGAAAGGGAGAAGGTATGAGGGAGGCAAGGATAGGAATAGGGGAGGAAGAGTGAAAGTAGGGAGGGCAAGAAGGAAACGAGATTAAAAGGAAAAAGAGAACATGGAGAGACTATTTAAGAGAAGAAGGTATATTTACTTGAGTTTTATTCTTAGGAACTCCATATCATGAGGGGTTAGTCAAACATAAAAAGACAGAAGATGGGCTGGGGTTGTGGCTCAGTGGTAGAGTGCTCACTTAAGCATGCGTGAGGCCCTGGGTTCAATCCTCAGCACCACATAAAAAATGGATTAAATAAAATGAAGGTATTGTGTCCAACTACAACTAGAAAATAAATAAAAAGGGCAGAAGATGAGGTAGTGGGGGCTGGGAATGGTTTTGGTAGAACATTTGCCTGGCATGTGTGAGGCCTTAAGTTTCATCCCAGCACTAAAAAAAAAAAAAAAAAAAAAAGGTGGTATAGTGTGTTGTACTTAGAGGTCACTGATTCCCAATGTGTCCTATCAAGATGTTTGAATTCTATGAGCGAGTATCTGGAGCCCGAATGCATGCTGCTTACATCCGCCCAGGAGGAGTGCACCAGGTAAGTGAGTGGGCTTCCCTGCCTCCCAAACCTCCAGTATAGGCCTCTTCCCTCTGTGGCCGCTGGAGGGCAGTGCTGGCTGATGGAAACTAACCCTGTAGCCATGGGGGAGAGTTGCTGAGCTGACTGTCCTTAATGGAGACTGTACTATTTTCATTATTACCTCCATTTGGCTTCTAGGACCTACCCCTTGGGCTTATGGATGATATTTATGAGTTTTCTAAGAACTTCTCTCTTCGGATTGATGAGGTAGAGGAGGTAAGATAGAAGACAATGGGGAAAAATCCCCCCTAAAAGAACATGTGGAATTTTAGTTTCCAATTGAAAAGAAATATAGACGTATTTAAATATTGTTATAAAGAGCATTAATGCATCAGTTTTCTTGATTAATAGATGCTGACCAACAATAGGATCTGGCGAAATCGAACTGTTGACATTGGGGTTGTGACAGCAGAAGACGCACTGAATTATGGCTTTAGGTAGGAGATTACTACATCTCTCCTTAGGGGTTGGGATAGGAGTGGGGAGTTCCAGCACAGTACCTTGGCTTGAAAGAATATTTGGCACCCTCTTTGCCATTTTCTGAGTTTGTATCTCATGCCCAGAATGTCAGGGAGGGAAGGAGGAGACTAAGGAAGAATGTGCCTCCTTTCTTGGTTTATGGAGAGTGGCCCTTATGCTGTCTATTCTACAGTGGAGTGATGCTTCGGGGCTCAGGCATCCAGTGGGACCTGCGGAAGACTCAGCCCTACGATGTTTATGATCAGGTTGAGTTTGATGTTCCTATTGGTTCTCGAGGAGACTGCTATGATAGGTAAGGACCTAGTCCTTTCTCAGCTGCTTGTCCAGCTTGTTGCCCCTGCTTAACTTGTCTCTTTACTACTTTCTTTTTTACCCTACTTCCAAATCCCTATAGGAGCTCCTGTGTCAAATTAGGTTGCTTGAGCTGGGGGTGTAATTCATCGAGAGAGCACTTGCTCAACATATATAAGGTTCTGGGTTCTGTCCCAGTACCAAAAAACAAAACCAAAACAAAATCCCCAAACTACATTGCACATACCTGGTATCTTATCTTATCCTTATGCTATCCCTGTCTTAGAACTAGTTTGGGCTGCATTTTATGGCTGAGAAATCTAAGGCATAAAATTTAGGGATTAGCCTGGGATTATTCTGTTAGTAGTGGTTAAGACTAGAATCTGCCTGATCCTGTGCTCTTTCCACTAGATTCTAAGCTTTAAATTCTACTCCTCTTCACTGACCCTAAGTAAGATTAGAGTAAGATTTGCTACTATTGTTTTTCTGTTTTGTTTTGTTTTGTTTGCTTGTTTTTCCATTTAATTCCCTCATTTTTTTTTCTTCTTTTTTGTTTCTGAGCTTTGAATCCAAGGACCTTTTACCATTGAGCTATGTCCCAGCTCTTTTTGTTTTTTTTATTTTGAGACAGGGTCTCCCTAAGTTGCTTAGGGCCTCAGTAAGTTACAGAGGCTGGCCTCAAATTTACAAGGCTCCAACCTCTTGAGTTGCTGAGATTATAGGCATTTGCCCCTGTGCTTGTCTCCTCCATTCAAATACAATCAAGAAAGTATTTGAGAGGGTAAACAGGGAAATACTACAGGCCATGGTCTGAGAAAATAAAGAGGATTTGGAGAAAGGCTGTAGTAAAATCAAAATACTGCAGGATCTATATGGGTAACTACTCTAAGCAGAGATGCTGTATTAGGAGAAAAGAGTGAGGACCATTTATCTAACTCTCTTGAGGTCAATCAGAAGTTATCTTTCCAGCCCCATATGTGCTCCTCAGCCTTGTTCTGAGTCTGTTTTACTGACTTCAGGTACCTGTGTCGGGTGGAAGAGATGCGCCAGTCCCTTCACATCATCTTACAGTGTCTAAACAAGATGCCTTCTGGGGAGATCAAGGTTGATGATGCTAAAGTGTCTCCACCTAAGCGAGCAGAGATGAAGGTTGGCTGCAGGGAGAGAATGAGGAGGGTATTGGGAAGGGGTTGGTGGCCAGGGAGGAGTAGCCTTGGATTCAATCCTATTTTTGCTTTTTCAAAGAATTTTCTGTTTTTTGGTTTTTTTTTGTCTTTTTGTTTGTTTGGTTCTGGGGGAGGGGTTGAACCCAGGAGTGCTCTACCACTGAGCTACTCTCCAGTTCTTTTCATTTTTTATTTTGAGACAAAGGTCTCAGTAAGTTTCTGAGGCTGACCTTGTTCTTGTGATCCTCTTGCCTCAGCTTCCTGAGTAGTAGGCGTGCACCACCAGGCCTGGCACATTGTATAAGATTCTGAGCGTCTTGTGGCACTCTTTTATTCTGTGTTCTCTCTGCTTCCGTGTTGGTTTTTAGACTTGAGGACACATTATTTTTTGTGCTGGAGGAAGGCTCAGGAGAAAGAATTTGGGTCTGGTTTACTAACGCTCTGTTTTCCCTCCCTTTAGACTTCCATGGAGTCGTTGATTCATCACTTCAAGTTGTATACTGAGGGCTACCAAGTTCCTCCAGGAGCCACGTATACTGCTATTGAGGCGCCTAAGGTGAGGAGAAGAGGGAAGGGGAAAGGCCAAATGAGGGGTGAGTGGCTATAGACAGACATATAACAGAATGCTCTCTCATCAGCAAGAGGATGTGAGGATGAACAGAGAGGTTTTGTTGGCAGGGAAGAATGTTCTTCCTATTAACAGTGGCACCCAACCTTCTTCCTTGCACAGGGCGAGTTTGGGGTATACCTGGTGTCTGATGGCAGTAGCCGCCCTTATCGGTGCAAGATCAAAGCTCCTGGTTTTGCCCACTTGGTAAGAACCAATCCCAGTGATTTGAATGCTAATAAATTAATCCAGAAATTTATTGACCTTGGTTGAGATTTTATGAAATTTCCTTCCATCTCCTACCCTGCAAATCTTTGCTCACACTGTTGCTCTCTCTGTCTCTCCAGGCTGGTTTGGACAAGATGTCTAAGGGACACATGTTGGCAGATGTTGTTGCCATTATAGGTATGAGGCATCCTATTGTGTACTGGAGGTACAAGGGGTGTCAGGCTGTGGTTGGGAAACCAAACACTCCCTGTTCAGCATAGACTGACATGGACTTGAGGCCTCCGTCTCTTGGACTTAGTAATGAGCTTTGGCTCTTTGGTAACACGACTTCTCTCTATCCTCTGACCTAGGTACCCAAGACATTGTGTTTGGAGAAGTAGATCGGTGAGCAGGGGAACAGCATTGACCTGCCCTGTCTATCAGATTCCTCTGTGGAGCCTGTTCCTCATTGAAAATGGGTCTGTGTGTGTGTGCGCGCGTGTGTGTGTACGTGTGTGTACACATACACATATATCTGTACAGACTTTCTGTGCATGTACTAAAAAGGAAAAATTATAATAAATTAGCTGCCTTGCAGCCCCTATGCCCAAGCTTCTGATATGTCTTTTTGGTATCTTATTGTCTTTCACTTTGTTTTTCTGTTAAATATAGGTCTCAGCAATTTTTCCTGCTCATCTCCACCCCTCTGCTGACTCTTGCCCTTTCCACTTCTCTATTCCTCATTTCCTCTTTTTCCCTCAGTTCCCTCTGCGTTAACCTCAATGTCCACACAAAATGGTAAGCTCCTTAATCAAGACTGGGTATAAAGTTTCAGGTGGTAGGGGTTAAGAGTATAGAGGGAATCTTGAGGGGCAGTTTATCAAGTCAGTTTATCAAATGTGTGTCTATGAACAGGGGCGGAGTGAAAGGTGGCAGTGTAGATAGCCTTTCCCAAGCTTGAGAGTCCCCTCGTTCCGTGGGCTGAGGTTGGTCATCGAAGGGCTGAATCTTAGAGTCCAGATCCTCTAGCTCCCCTAGTTAGCCCTTCCGGGAGCCGCCCAGTCTCTAGTGCAGGAAGGGGAAGGGGCCAAAATGTGGGGGAAGGCGTGGCAGGAAGGGGGGAACTCTGTGGTCAGGGAACTGTTCGCATAGCACAGCTGCGCAGTGCTGTCAGCGCCCGATCCCAGCTCTCGGCTCCTCAGCCCCCTGCCCAAGATGATTCCAGCAGTGATCTTGCTCTTACTCCTTTGGGTTGAACAAGCAGGTGAGAGTGTGGTGAGCGTCACTGCGCTGGGCCTCAGTGTGGGAATCAAGAGCATATATGGGAGGGCTCTAGTCAGGGACAGAATGAGGGAGGCCAGTGGGAGGCATGTGGGCACCGGGCTGAGATACAGAGACCCTGAGTCTGGTCCTATCCAGGGCACTAGTCATGGTTTCTTTGATTTTAGTCCCTTTTCAACCTTATTCCAGACTGACTTCAGGATGGCTTTGAGACTGTCAGTTTGGCAGGAAAAGCAGGTGTTTGTTTGGTACGAAGAGCTGGTCCTCAGTGTGGGAATCAAGGGCATGTATGAGAAGGCTCCATTTTCCGTGATCAGCATTATTTTTGTGGTATCCTTGGTTTTGTCCAGGGGAAGTTGGTCTGTAGTTAATTATAAATATACAAAACTCCCTTTTAGAGAGCAGAGGCCTGTCTTCGGACTTAGGAGCAAGACAAGGGGTATTCAAGATAAATAGGCATGATAGCTGTTTCGGCGGATCATCACTACAGCACGAGCTGATAGGAAGGTGGGCCATATGAAATGCCTGTTTCTAGAGACCTGAGCATCAGCGGAGAAATAGAGGCACAAATAACAAGGTTCTAGCTCTAAGACTCTAGTCAATTGAAAAACTCTCACTTTTTGCTTACTTTGGGTTGTCTATGCTATGAGGGTGTGTCTGTTCTGAACAGAGGTTGTGTCAGTTGGGGAGGAAGGAGTTGGTTAACTTTAAGGAAACTGGAGAAATTGAATGAGTCCCACCAACCCAGTTGAGGTGGAGAAAAAGGATTAAGTGAGCCACTTATCTGCTGTCATGGGATGGAGAGGGAGGCCAGAGCTCCAGGGCATAGGAAAAGCTTTGGAGGCAGAAAATACTAGATTTCAGTTCCAGTCTCTTGCTTAACTGTGGCCCTGAATGAGTTACTTAGCTTTTCCGAAAGCCTGGGTTTCATCATCCATAAAACGGCAGTGACGTTTCCTTCACAGGGTAGTTTTGAGATTTATGTAATATTGTGCATGTGTTACAGAATAAAAAGTATTTTACTGATGTCAGTACTTGGCCCATATTAGTCAGATGCATCCCATCAGTTCTGATACAGGCTGGGAACAGTCTTGGAAGCCCAGATCCTATGTGATTTTTTTTTTTTTTTTAAATCATACAAAACTTCCCCTCCGAGAGGCTCACAGTGAGTAACAGGGCAGAGTAGCAGAAGGAAGAATTCATATTTTGCATTTAATTTGGGATCATTCCCTTGAGCCTGTAGTCATTTCCCCAGCTCCATGTGCAGAGCCAGTGGCAGGCATAGGAAAGTGGATACTTTGTTTTTGGCATATTTAAGTGTCTTGTGAGACAGAAAGCAATGAGGCTGGGAGATGACCAATAATAGAGTAATTGCCTTCCCTCCCTTCCCCAGCTCACATCCTTCCTGTCCAGCTCTCAGCCACAGGTCACAGGACTTAGCGGAGACACTCTTGTGGTTTCTTAAGCTGAAATTTGCCACTGCCTCTCTATCACCCTCCCCCGCTGGGCTGAGGTTTTAGTCTCAGCCCAGTGAACTTAGACCTGTCCTTGAGAATAGATGAAGCGCTCAATGGAACCCAAAGAACCACAGTGCTAAAGAGGTTTGGGGTTAAGGGGAAAGTCTTCAACTCTTAAACCATGTAAGTCCTACTGCAATAGAACTTTTTATTCTATCCCTACTCTCTGGTAAGGGAGAATAGAGAAAAGTAAGAAAAATAGGAGTCCAGAAAGGACCATAGAGTTTCTTTCCTAAAAGGGATCCCCTCTAAGTCTCTCCCTTCTCTCCTCTGAGCACGAGATCCCACCACCATGTCCCTGATCCCCTGGTACCCTCTGTCCCCTCAGAGGCCCTGGGAGAGCCTCAGCTCTGCTATATCCTGGACGCCATCTTGTTCTTATATGGTATTGTCCTCACCCTGCTCTATTGTCGACTCAAGGTAAGGCAAAGTGGGGTGAGGGCTAGAAGGAGAAATGGGAGGATGGCAGCAGTGTGGAATGGAGGAAGGGGAACCCAAGGGGTTCTCCCACTTGGAGGGAAGGGGATGGGCCTCTAATTTCCTCTTCACGGATTACCTTTCCTCCACTCCAGCTCCAGGTTCGAAAGGCAGCTATAGCCAACTATGAGGTATGGACCTTCCCACATGTGGGTGTTGATAATTTTTCAGACTCTGCCCTTCTAGAGTTAGGGTCTGAGTCCTCTGGGAGAGCATGCATCTCTTGTACTGATCTGTATACACCTTAGCACCTTACCTTATTTACCCTGCCAGCTGGCCAAGCCACAAGTAAAATGTCTGGCAGGTAACAGGGAAGAGTCAAGCACAGGGTGATAATGAATGCATGAGAGTTGTGTGTTATTTGTGTTTGTATCCATGTTGGCAAATGTGTATTCATGTCCCTATCATGTGAATGACCTCCAGCGTTAGGCAGCTAACTCTGACCCTGACCCAGATACTCCCTGGGTGGGAAAGCAGATGCTGAAGAGCCCTCAAAGAGATATGGGTCTGTAATGCCTTGCCTCTTTCCTCTCTGCAGAAATCAGATGGTGTTTACACGGTGAGTGAGCCTGATTGTCCCCCCTCAGAATCAGCAAAAGAGGGTGGGGTTTGGGGTGACCTTGGGCCAAGGTCTGTGGGGTGGGTGGGGCTTCTTGGGTGAGATCAAACCCCTGACCATTCTTTGACTCCCACCTTCAGGGCCTGAGCACCCGGACCCAGGAGACATATGAGACTCTGAAGTATGAGAAACCACCTCAATAGCTTTAGATATCCTTGGTCACATCTTTCTGTGGCTTCCAGTTCACCTCCCAGCCCTTATGGTCAGCATTGTATATGCCTCCACACTCTTAATGCCAACTGACCTTATCCCTATAATGATGCCAGGCCCCATGTTAATGTACACCAGCGATTTCTCCTCCCATTTAAAGACTTATGCTCAGATGCTCTTCAATGTGTTTATTTTCTAGTCTTACTCCCTTGCCCAACCATTCTTCCCTTCCCCCTCCCCAACTCTTGTTAAAAACAATGGGAAGGGAGATCCTCAATAAAGCTGCCACAGATTGTACTCTATCTGTTCATTCATTTATCTTATATTTATATTATCTTATATTTATTCAGCCTCTACTAGGCACTAGGAAGGATACTGAAGATGTAGTTTTGAGTAAGGCAAACTCAGTTTAATGAACTTTAAAGCTACTTTGCTCAAATAAGGAATGAATGCTGATTGTAGCTGGGGGAGGGATGAGACCTTTGACCCCCAGATGCTCTGAGCTAGAGCTAGAGCAGGGAGTATGCTCCCTACATACCACTCTGCTGGGAATGTAGCCATGTTTGGAGACATCAGAACCTAAGAAATGACATCTGCACACAATGTGGCCTTCTGTGTCTGAAAATTGACAATTGTTGGATTGTGGGGGAGCCTGTCTGTGCAATCCCAGATTTTTACCAATCCAGATATGTACCAATCCAGTATATGCATATGGGAATTAGCACAGTTGAAAAGCCAACCATGCAGGAAAAAAATGGGATAACCAGGGTTGTGTGAAGCTCCTAATAGAAGGTTTTCTAGAAAGAGTGATTTTAAGGGGAATTCTAAGGTAAGAGGAACTTTTAAGAGCCAGATGCAGTGGTGTACTACTATAATCCCAGTGACTCAGGAAGCTGAGGCAGGAGAATCAAAAGTTTGAGGCCACGGCTGGGGCTATATCTCAGTTGGTAGAGTGCTTGCCGTGCATGCACAAAGCCCTGGGTTCAATCCCCAGCACTCAAAAAAAAAAAAAAAAAAAGTAAAAAAGTAAAAAAAGTTTGAGGCTAGCCTGGGCAATTTAGCAAGATCAAAAGGTTCAGGAATGTAGGTCAGTTCAATCCCTAGTAGCACATACACACATAGAGAAAGGGACCTTAGAGAAATGGCCAAATAGGGATTAAAGACAGGTAAGGCAAAGGGAAGCAAATTGGGCCCAGATAAGTAGTCATCTCCCCCAAGCCCACGGGTGAGTGACCAAGGAATCCCGTGTTTGTGCCTGTTCTGTTTCCAGAACTGCCAGAAAGCTCTGCCTGGAAGTATTTAAACTTCCTGAGATGCTGCCAGTTCTACCTTTAACCCAGCAGGCATTCTTGAATGGGTCTAGGGTCCCCAAGCTTCCAGCAACCCCTTGTGCCAAGCAATACTTTGTACTGGTAGTAACTTATGCTTCTCAAACTATTTTTCAGTTGTACCATTTGATTCACTTGTCAACTCCTAAGGAAATTCAGGCTTTTTGAAATTAACTTGTCCAAATTGTCACCTTGCAAATAACAGACTAATAAATCTTTGTTTCTGCACACTTTACCTCATGAGAAAAGGTAGATATTTTGAAAGAAAAGGGTAGGGGAATAATTATGAATGGTGAGAGTCTTGATGCCAGAATAAGGAGGTTGATCAATATATAGAATAAATTGAAGCCATCTCCAGTCTCCTGGAGAAAGATGACTTCAGATGCTGTATGTAAAATGAGCCAAGACAGGGAAATAACTGTTATAATGAATTAATTAATTTGGTACCGGGTATTGAACCTGGGGCACTCTACCACTAAGCTACAAACCCAGTCCTTTTTAGTTTTTATTTTGAGACAGGGTCTTGCTAAATTGGTGAGGTTGGTCTCAAACTTGTGATCCTCCTACTTCAGCCTTCCAAGTAGCTAGACATACAGAGAAAATAACTTTCTTAAAAAATATTTGTTTTTTAGGTGTAGATGGGCACAACACAATGCCTTTTTTTTTTTTTGTGGTGCTGAGGATTGAACCGGGGTCCCACCTGTCCTAGGGGAATGCTCTACCGCTGAGCCACAATCCCAGCCCCGAGAAAATAACTTTTAAAGGAGGAGGCTAAGGTTGTAGTTCAGTGGTAGAGTACTTGTCTAGTATGTGTGAATCCCTGGTTTGATTCCTTATACTATAAATAAATAAAATAAGAATTCATTTTTATTAGAAAAGGCCTCATTTTAGAACTGTATATCTCCCCCTATCAAAAACCCAACCTGATTTCCATTTTCATTTAATCCAGGTATCACAGCATCTCTTATATCCCATGTCCACCAAGTTAGATAACTGTCAGGCCTTTAAATGGCTACCAGTTCCAGGCTCTAAGATGGTTACTAGGCCAGTTCTTTGAATAGTGCCCGGATAATGGTAGGGGAAGGGCTTGGAATGGGTCCAAGCTTTCAGAGGTTTTGAAAGGAGGGAAGAATTAGAACACTTTTAGGGAAAGGAGTGAAACCAGGGTTTCTCTTTTATTGTGAGATGGAGAAACAAGAGTATTCTCCTTACTCATAAGGAAAGAAAGGGTCTTGGGTCACACCACTGGGCTCATTTTGAGGAAGATATTTTTCTCTTTCTAGAACGGTTAAGGGGAAATTCTGAAGGATGCCCTCATTTCCTGTAATTTTCAGAAGTCTAGGGATTGGGTTTATGAATCCTTCCTTTCTCTCACAGTTCCATGTCCTATACAGTGGCACTATCACTCCACGGCAGAGCCATGCCTGGGATGTGGGAGATTCCCTGGGCTTGAGGAAGAATCACAGGCACACCACACACCACTGCTATATCATTTCAATCATTTGTCTCTTCAACCCTTTCTCCATCCCTCCACACCCAAACCCTTCTCCTTTTAAAAGCAGATTTATCTTTTTTTCTTCTTTCCACTCCTCCCCAACTCTGCTACTTCTCCCAGTCACCTGAACACACGAGACTCACAATTTGATTCCTTCCACATTTATTGTAGAAAATGGGGAGTTGGCAGGGAGAGGGACACTAGGCCTGGTCCCTGGGGTTGGAAGAAATGGTACGGTCTCCTCACTGCTCAGCAGGCTGTGTTTTTTTGAGGTCCATGAAATTGCTCAAGAAGTTAATCAGATCAGTTCCAGCCTTCTTGACCAGGGGTGTCAGCTCTTCCTGCGTCTTTTCAAAGTAAGCCCTGGATAGGGGAGGGATTAGAGGTCAGTGTGAAGAAATCTAATGACTGGCAGGGAGGAGCCTTGTTGGTGATGAGAAGGAGCAAAATGAACTAGGTCCCTCCTGCCATGGCAAAGCACCTAGTAGGAGAATCAAGCCCGCCACTGGACAGAGCAATAGACTCTAGAGGTTGAAATTCAGGGACCACTTCCTATTGCCCCTATCTATCCAAAAGGTACACACGATCTATGAGCAATGGAAGAATTTTTCTCCCCAGTTTAAGCTTAATCCTTCTTAACCTCCACCCCTGAGTCAGTCTCCTGTAAGGCCTTCCATCTTCTGTTCCTTCTCTCCACTGTCCCACCTCCAAACCCTTACCCCTGACACTTACTTGGCCTGGGCTTGAAGCTCTGGGCCCTTGGCCTTCTCCACCAGGTCCTTGCCATAGTCCGTCACAGTCTGGAGGTACTGAGAGAAAAGGCTCTGCAGAGTTGGCTCCTCAGCCTGTCTCCGAACCAAAGCCCCTAGAAACATAGGCACACTTTTCTCAGCTGGGTCCCCAGCAATGAGTCCTGGTCTCCCACCATACCTCTGCCATTCTCCACCCCAGCTCTCAGCCCCCTTTCCAAATAGATATATAGACAAATCTTTGGATATATATATTTTTTTTCTTTCTGGACTTCAGAGAGGAAAGCTCTGTGGTTGCCAGACTGAGACATAGGAACACAGAAAATGGGTAGCGAGGACCACCATCTCCTGTTCTTCTTTGTCCCCCTCCCTCCATATCATACCCACCTTCAAGGCTACAGATGGTAAGGAGAAGCACAGTCATTGCAAGCAGCTTCATCGTGGTGACAGTAGAAAGGTGGCCTAGAATATAGTGCTGGTGGTGAGGAAGGGTGATGAAGCCAAATGGGCTTCACCCCCTCCCCAGGGAATCTCACATCCAGATGCCCTCTCCACCCTGGTTCCCTTCCTTTCCACCATCAAAGCCCAGTCCTCTTCACATGCTGCCCACAGCTCTTACTCTCTCACCGTACCTACTCAGCGTCTCTGTCTTTGGTGTCTGTTGCTGGCCTGGCTGGAAAGGCAGGGGCTATATATATACCTGTCCATTTCACCACCCCCTGTCAGGTGATAGAGATTCTGGGGAGATATTGGGGGAGGGACCATGTTGAAGTAAACAGATTGGAGAAATGGGGGAGGAGAGGACAAGAAATGAGGAACTCATGGCAATGAAATGAGAAGCAGAGGGTACAGGCCTTAGTGAAGGGCAAAAGTGTACACATCCATCTGTTTAAGATTGACTCTTTTGGGATCTGGGGCTAGTTATCTTTGGATTTGTATGCAGTGGGGAAGCAAGATTTCTAATCATTTCTCTGGAAAGCTCTGACATCAAACCCTTGATCCTTGATCTTTTTATCTCTTTTCTGAGTAAATTTCATCTCCCCAACCCTACTTGTCTTCACTGCAACTTTGAAGATAAGTATTGGGGAAAAGAATAAAAGAAAAAAAAAAGCAATTGAAATTAGGGGCAGTAGTGGAGGGAATGGGGGTTAGGAGAATGAGAGTCAGGGTCAGAGGGCAGGTGTGATTGACTCTGTCCTTTTTCAGTTAATGTATAATGAGACAGGGGGAGAAAACAACCCAGGGCCCAGAATGGCCCTCCTGGTTGCTGATCAATGAGCATACCTTTCCCCCAATAAAAACAAATTCAGAAAACAGCCTCTGCCCTTCCCCTCTCAGGTGGAGAGCTCTGGCAGGAAAAGACACAAGAGGCTCCTGCTAGGATAAGGGTTGAATATACCTGGTCATCTGACTGCCTTATCAGTTCAAGGCAGTGGTCAGTCAATATTGAATTAGCAGGGGCCATAGAATACCTATGGCCAAGGTCCTGGCCCTTGTCCCAGCCCTAATTAAGGGGAGGGGGGGTTACATTCCTAGGCTCAAAGCATTTCAGTAGAATTAGCTAACTAGATACCAGAAGCATTTGTATCTTCCACCCTATTGCCCTCAAAGTTTGCTCCCTAGGTATGTGGAACATTCCTGAAAGATGGGACTGAGTGGTGGGAGCTAGTGAGAAAGGTAGGGAACAAAGGCTAAAAAATTTTATTCCGTTTTCAATTATTCTCCAGTAGAGCTCATAGTTCTTGAGTGTAATCTATTGCTTGCCCCTGGCCCTAAGGCAGGGCACATTTGTGGTCTGGAAACTTATTCCTAGGTTTTATTTGTTCACCTTGCCTGAAAAAAAAAAAAAAAAACCTCAAAGAACTATAGAGGTACCTGTTTTTGTTGTTGTTGTTATTTTGGGGGGCGTGACCAGGGGCGCTTAACCACTGAGCCACATTCCCAGGCCTTTTTTGTGTTTTATTTAGATACAGGTCTAACTGAGTTGCTTAGGGCTTCACTAAGTTTCTGAGCTGGCTTTGAATTTGCCATCCTCCTGCCTCAGACTCCCGAGTCTCTGAGCTTAGATGGTATTTTAAGGAATAGTTCTGCTCAGAGCCTGCTCCTCTACCCCAAACTGTCACACACCCATTTCCTTTCTTTACCGAGAGGGGACACTCCTGAGAGGTGTAGACCTCTAGAAGATGAGGGGGTTTGTGTCTGGGGAAGAGCTGTGCTTATGCGTCATTTAGAGGCGGGCTGTGGAGGGCTGTGGATTCAATGGGGATGTGGGGCATGATATGAACTAGGTTCGAAAGAAGTCTTCAGGATCATTCCTCCATCATTCGTCACTAAACACAAAATCTGAGTTGGGTGTGGTGGCGCACGTTTGTAATCACAGTTACTCCAGAGGCTAAGACTGGAGGATCACAAGTTCAGCTTCGTCAACTAATCGAGTCCTATCTCAAAAAAAATTAAAAAAAAAAAAGTTGGGGATGTAGTTCAGTGGTAGAGCTCCCGAGGGTTCAATCCCTAGTACCAAAAATAAAACAGCCTCTAGGCTGTAGTTTCACTTTTTTCGTGGCCGGTGCAAGGAGTTTCAGTGGCCCAAGCGACAAGATACTCCCTCTAGTGGCTTGAACGTTCACAAGTTTATCTCGACCTTGGAGAGGCAGGGCAATCTAAGGCCTTCTGCTGAAGTCTAAGAAACCACCAATCAAATCCCGCTGGCCTCTGCCCCGCCAGGGTGAAGCTCTCCGGCTGCCATGCCTGCCACTCTTTTACTTCCTTCTTTCTCATTGGCGACTAGGAGATCGAAGTGCCTTTTTTCCCACCCATTGGGCGGGACCGAATCAGGAGAGGGTTGGGTCTTAGGTAGTTTCCTTTGCCCGGTTCCAAGATGGCGCTCATGGCCACTCGGGAAATGCAACGTGAAGCCGAAGCTTTGCCATTAACCAAGATGGCTGCCCCCATCAAGATGACCGGGGTGTGCCGGGGGGAAAGGGACCGCAGGATGGTCTGAGATGGTAAGGGCTACTGTTCTATTGCGGGCCTGCCCTCAGGGCGTGGGAATGAAGATTAGAAAGACTAGGAATCCAGGTGAGGTCTGTGGTGGGGGTTAGGATTAGAAAATGGGAGCGAGGACAGGGGTGACAGGTGGGGGTGAGGGATCAAAGATGGGGTGGGAGTGTGCCTAGGGTTCTATCTCTCCATCGGTGCTCTCCCCATTCTTCCTGTTCCAGGACTAGCATTCGATCATGTGGAAGTTTCTGAGACTGGGGAGCCTGATGATGGGGGGTGGGGCCCGTGGGGGGTAGAGGAAGCCAGAATCCTTTCCCAGGCTAACCCGGGCCCCTCCCTGTCCTCTGGACTAAAATGGGTAATACTTTGGGCCTGGCACCGATGGGGAGTATGCCCCGCCGAAGCCCCCGCCGAGAGGAACCTCTACCCAACCCTGGGAGCTTCGATGAGCTGCACCGGCTATGCAAAGGTGAGAACTCTGTCATTTGGATCTCAAGTTGAAGGGGCGGAGGAAGGGAGGGTCTTGAAACCTGATGTCCGGTGATGGGAACAGAAAAGGGGAAATCACAGCTGCGGCATTCAGTTCAGGGAGAATCAGGTGCCCAAATGAAGTAGAACATTTCGTTTGAGGAGTTGAAAGGAGGTCAATCCCTCCAGTGCTTCATATGGGATTGAAAGGGGAGACTATCTCTTTGGGTAGGGATTCCTTGTCTGTGCTTATTCCTTCCCTTCCCCCCCACCCCCTTCAGATGTATTCCCAGCACAGATGGAGGGAGTGAAGCTCGTTGTCAACAAGGTTCTGAGCAGCCATTTCCAGGTGCTCCCACTTCTCTGTCCCATCCTTACCATTCCTTCGTGCCTATCCTTGGATCCTCCTTTCCTTTTTGCACTCCAGCCTTAGCTAGGCTATGTGGGACAAATGAGGGAGGATGTGGGGTTCTCTTTACCTCCCTTGCCTGCGGGACTTGGTGCTTTAAATCTGTTAACCCACTGCATATGTTGGGATATTTGGGATTCTTAAAAGGCCCCCTGAATGGGAGAAGATGACGGGTGGGATGAGGTATTGAAATGAAACATGGATGCTCTCTTCCTCCATTGACTCCTCTTTCTGCAGGTGGCTCACACTGTGCACATGAGTGCCCTGGGCTTGCCTGGCTATCACCTTCATGCAGCCTATGCAGGGGATTGGCAGCTCAGCCCCACAGAGGTGAGGGCTCCACATACCTGGGTCCACTCTCTAAAAGCGCACCTGGGACTTAGGTCTGGAGGAGGAGGAAATGTGTGTGTTAAGGGAAGAATTGACAGTAACCAGATTCTGTCTCTTCTGAATGGCAAAGGGTGGGGAAACAATTCTATGAAAAGATGCCAGAGTTTTTCTTTGTGTCTCCACCAGGGGGCGCTGAGTAACCCAGTGTTTTTGGGTTTAAGTTGAGTAATGCTATCCAGCTCAGCCTTACTGTCTACACTCCTCACCAGGTGTTCCCCACTGTGGTAGGGGATATGGACAGCAGTGGAAGTCTCAACGCCCAGGTCCTACTTCTGTTGGCAGAGCGGCTCCGAGCTAAGGCTGTCTTCCAGGTGACCCACAGTTCCTGCCTCCATCCATCGAGGCACTTCTCTTTCTCCTCTATGGGTATCCTGCCGCGGGGAAGCCAGGGGGAGGATCAGAGGCAATAGTGATTATAAAAAGATGGTTGGAGATTTTACTTCTTGCTCTCTCCACACAGACACAACAGGCCAAATTCCTGACATGGCAGTTTGATGGCGAGTATCGAGGAGATGACTACACAGCCACTCTGACCCTAGGAAATCCTGACCTGATTGGGGAATCGGGTGAGGAGTTGGGACAGGGTTCTTTTGAACCCTAAACAGGGTTCTATTTGCTAATGTTGGACATGCCTCCTCATCTTCTGTACAGTTTGGGAGTTCGAAAAGGAATTTCTGGGGCAGGTTGTAGGAGGGAACTGAGGGTGAAGGAGTAGTCCTCACTATTGTCTCTATGACTGACTCCATGTCTCCTCACTCCCCCACAGTGATCATGGTCGCTCACTTTCTGCAGAGCCTCACTCATCGACTGGTGCTAGGAGGAGAGCTAGTTTATCACCGGAGGCCGGGTGAAGAGGGGGCCATCTTGACTCTGGCTGGGAAGTACTCGGGTATGGGGTGAAGTGGAATGGCAATTCTGACTTTGCTGGGGTCCTTTGAATGTGTCCTACTACAGTAATTCTCCTTTCCCCTTGTATTTTGTTTTTTACAGCTGTACACTGGGTTGCTACATTGAATGTAGGATCTGGCGGGGCCCATGCAAGCTATTACCACAGGGCAAATGAACAGGTGAGCTACTGATCTCATGCCTTATGCTAGCAAGTCAGTTATATAAACTTTTGCTTCTGTAGACAAACAGGCTCTTGCTGGCCTAGTATTCTTCCTACCCACACAGGTATACATTTTCATGGATGTCTTCATTCTGCTGATCCCCTGTCAGGGCCCCTCGGGTCTCACCAAGACTGAATCCCCCTCTTATCCTTGCCCTTGTTTTTCAGGTTCAGGTTGGAGTGGAGTTTGAGGCAAACACAAGGCTACAAGACACAACCTTCTCCTTTGGTTACCACCTGACTTTGCCCCAGGCCAACATGGTGTTTAGAGGTAAGAGTTATTGTGACAACATTCAGAAGTGCTGAAGGATCAGGGGATGTAGAGGGAGGGAAGTTCTACCTTATTTTTGCCAACCCTTTTCTCCAAGTCTTGTTCAATAACCTAGTTGATGTTTTCTTTCCCAATAGGCTTGGTGGATAGTAACTGGTGTGTAGGTGCTGTGCTGGAGAAGAAGATGCCCCCGCTGCCCGTCACCTTGGCCCTTGGAGCCTTCCTTAATCATTGGCGCAACAGATTCCATTGTGGCTTCAGCATCACTGTGGGCTGAGGTTGTCCCAGAGCCAGCCCCCACAGCTGGAACCTGAGTCAGGTGTCCTAGGGCCAGAGACTAGGCTCCTCTTCAGAGCCCACCTCGATGGGTGACCTCTAGGTCCTAGGAGCAGAGTGGGGAACAGGACCATACCCTTCTCAAAATTGGCGCTGCCACTGGGTCAGCTGATAAGGCAGTGGTTTGAGGCTCCCACTTCTGCCACCAGCCCCAGTATCATCTTCCCCACGCTCTTGTTGCTCTGGACTAAGGGAGAAGGATTAAGGAATATGTCTGGTTGAACTCCCCCCTTCATTTCCATCTTTGTTTTCCTCTGGATTAAAGCCCCTAGCTCCTTCCTCTCCAGAGCAGAAAAGACTGCATGGGATTAGCTTCCCCATCCTGTTTTCCCATCCCAGAGTCTCCCAAGGCTGAGAAAGTAGGGCTGAAGGGCTAAATTTGGGGCATTGAAAAGTGGGACCTACCCATTCCCAGAAGTTTTACCTCTTAGCCTGAGGCTTCTTCTTCTTCATCTTTTATGCATCCAAAGGACAACCTTACCCCCATGGTCACCCCTGAGTACCCCAATGATCGCATGAAGAGGCATTTATTCCTTTAGTCTTTCATTACAATCACTGAACTCCCTTTCTCCTCGTCCTAGCAATTTCCCCTTTCCAGTCCAGTGTGTCCCAAGTGGGCTGGGGAAGAAGGCCAGTCTGGGGCTCAGCTGCAGATCTCCTGGAGCAGTGGCATCATAGCAGATAGTCCCTGTATGCGCTGGAGTTGGTAACAGTATGCGTTGTTAATACTCCGGAGTTCAACCAACAGGCCCAGCAACTTTGCATATAGAAACCTTTGAAGGAAGTAGTGGGGTTACCAGGGAAGAGGAAGGAAATAAGACAGCTAGAAGTCTTGTCCTGAGGCCCTGACCCACTGAATTAACCCTCAGTGAGGCTAAGTCTGAACTTTAGAGAAAATCAGGCTCTGGTATGAAAATTTGTCAAATGTTCAAAAGTCCCCAAAGGGGTATCTGTCTGATACTATCTTCTCACAATGCCCAGTTTTTCCTGAACTCTGAGGGCCAAGTGTGAAGGAAGCCCCAAGACCTTGCCAGAACTTCAACTGTGTAGAGTCTGAGGGTTTGGCCTTCTAGAGCAAGTTCTAGAAGATGGGTGGGTTGTTCTGTGGTACGAAGTATCCTCCTTCTGGCAAACTGACTTATTGAGGAATGAGTAAGAACAGAAGTTGCACATACCTCAGAGCCCAGATAGATCCTGAATCAGGGACACAAAACTGTGAATGACCCTAACTCCAAGGGAAATGAAAAAATTCAAGGAATTGGCCAAGTGGAGAGACGAGAAAGGGCCAAGGAACAAAAGTGAGCAAGACTCTTAATGGTCCACTTTAGTCTGGAGAAGTTGTAGTGCTAGGTTATAGATGTCATCAATCTCAGGAATGCTATTATAAGAGCCTGTGAGCTACTACTTTGCATCTCTACTGAATAAAAAAAAAATCTGGAAAAAGTAAGATCAAACATCAGTAAGAGCAATTTGAATGCTGGAACTATGCAACTGGGATGGCCAGAGGAAAGGACCAGACCCCAAGAGATCTGGTTTGCCAAAGGAAAAGACAGGAAAAGCATTCATCCAGGGTTGAGTGTTTTCCATAACCTCTTCCTTCCCCAGTGCAGCCTCCAAGCTCCCAGGCTCCCACCTACCGATTTCGGGGCCTTGGTTCCTGTTCCTTGATGTAGCTGTCCAGAGTTAGTGCCATCTCCTCTTGCAACTGATCAATCTCTTCTCTCTGGGTAACTCCAGGCCGATCTGTAAGAGAGAGAGCTAGGAAGGACAAGGGGGAGGGGGGAGGCCTGCACAGTGTCCCAGGGTCTGAGGATGATACAGACCCACTCCAAAGGTTTAAAGGCTAGATGGCCATGGACGGATGGATTCAAGGGACCCAGTTTGGGTAGAGATGGTGGGACCAAAGTTTCTGGGCTTTGGGAAATGCTCACCAGGAGAGAAGAGGGCCATGGCAGCCATGAGCACATACTCAGGCTCCTGGAGCTGCAGTCGTTTTAGTGTCCCATGGAAGCGAAATATCAACTCCAAAAATTCTTCCTGAAACCCTACTGTAGGAGATATGAGGCTTAGAGCCTCTAGGTCACCTCACCTCATCCCAGACCACAAGGACACATGCCCCTACTGCTCTAGCACCTTCTCACCATGGACTCCATCTTCCATTGTGTAGCAAAGAGGTCCACACAGGAAGTTTTGTGTTTGGAGACAGAAAGTGGTATTGAGTACAATGTGAGATATTTCCACAGCTGCTCCCTTGAGAAGGGAGATTTGGTCCTCCATGGGCAGGGATCTGTGGAGAACACGAAAAAAAGGGCATTTTAGACAAGTCTGAACTTAGGAGAGGGAGAGGAACTTCCGGTCCTGAGTGACACACTTAAAAACAAACCTGATTTTGAGACCTGGTGCTTGGAAATACTAAGGGTTGTGGTAATTGGTTGAGTGACTTTTTTTTTTTTTTTTAAAGAGAGTGTGAGAGAGGAGAGAGAGAGAGAGAGAGAATTTTTTATATTTATTTTTTAGTTTTCGGCGGACACAACATCTTTTGTGTGTATGTGGTGCTGAGGATTGAACCCGGGCTGCACGCATGCCAGATGAGCACACTACCACTTGAGCCACATCCCCAGCCCTGTTGAGTGACTTTTTTATTTTGGGGTGCTGAACCACTGAGCTACATCACCAGCCCTTTTTATTTTCTGTTTTGAAACAGGGTCTCATTAAGTTGCTTAGGCCCTAGCTAAATTGCTGAGGCTGGCCTCGAACTTGCCATCCTCCTGCTTCAACCTCCCAAATTGTTGGGATTACAGGCATGCACCACCATGTGTGATAGGACTCCCCCTACCCTAGTACTGGGGATTGAATCCAAGGGCTCTCTACCACTGAGCTATACCCCCAGCACTTTTTATTTTGAGACAGTCTACTACGTTGCTGTGACAGGCTGCAAATTTGCAATCCTTCTTCTTCAACCTCCTGAGTAGCTGGGATTACAAGCATGAGCCACCATGACCAGCTGATCAGTAACTTTTAGAGGTGGGGAGAGATGAAGACGGTATACAATTTATGAAGCCCTTGCTTCATGAGAGATAAGGGAAGATCACTCACCGGAAAAGAGGCAGATCCTTTGTGAACTTGATAATTTGCTGCATCATGAAAGTGTTGATGTCTGCGAAGTGTGTGAGCAGAGGTAGCACAGGGGTCAGGGTAGGCAAGGGCTGGTGATGGATGAACAGGTAGGCTGGAGGCTGTAGAGATCAGGATGTGAGCCAGAGTCCCTGGCTCCTAGGGCTTTTGTTGAGGCCTCACCAGCCTTATTTGGAAAGGTTCTTTAGAGGAATTTGCCCAGACTGGGGTTCTGGAGAAGATCTATCCTCTGTTGGTACATGGTACACAGCCCTCTCCCTTAGGCCACCTCCTAGATACCCTTTTGGTCACTTTCAGCCCTGATCAGTGCTCACCCTGAACTGCACAAACTGGTCAAACATGGTGCCAACATGACGAGTGTGGGCCCCCAGAAGGGTCTGGACCAGCTTTTTCTGCTCCTGACTCAGTTGTGTAGGAGTCTGCTGTGCCCGCCGCTGTGCCTGTTTTGCTCGTCGTAATGCCAGGGCTTCTGCCGACAGTATCACTGTACCAGACGAGATGTAACAAAGCTATTTAGACCAGCAGAGAGCATCTTTCAGCCAGTCCCTGATCTGGGATTCCTCAACCACTCTATACAAGGAAGGATTGGGGAAGGAAGGAGAGTTCCTGAGGCTTCCTTGAACTTGATTGACTCCTAGAGACCTCAAGTGTGGGGAATTCCTGGCCCCTTTCACCAACCTCAGTTACCTGTAAGGCACATGGCAGGAAACAATGCACTGTGGGAAAGGAGGGAAGGATGGAGAGTAAAGTGGGAAAGGTATAAGATGGTTGGCTTTGGGGGAAAATAATTAAGAGGGGCTTAATAAAGTGCTAAGGCAGCACCTTGTGTTTGTATAATATGTTAGCTTTTCATTTCCATGACCAAAATACCTGACATAACTTAGAGGAGGAAACATTTCTTTTGACTCAATTTCAGTCTATGGTTGGCTGGTTCTGTTCTTTGGGATGGAGGCAAGGCAGAACATCATGGCAGAAAAGCTACTCAGCTCATAGTAGCAGGAAGCAGAGAGAGGGAGGAAGGAGATGAGGAAGATAAACCCTTCCAGGGCAGGTTCCCAGTAAGCTACTCCAATTAGGTCCCAACTCCTACAGTTTCTATCACGTCCCAATAGTCCACTCAAATTATTAGTTCCATCAAATGGATTAATCCACTGATGAGGTTCTATTCCTCATGATCCAGTCATTTCCTAAAAGCCCTACCTCTGAACATTACTGCATTGGAAACCAAGACTTCAACACATGAGACTTTGGGGACATTCCAGACCATGACACAGCATTATAATTTCAAAGGTTCTGAAGTTAGATTTCACTGGATGAAACAACACTGTGGTAGACAAGGTAAGTATTATTCATATTTTTCAGAAATGTAAATATGCTTAGATTCTAGCAACAGGTCCCGGGTCATAAAATAAGTGATGCAGATTGAATTCAAACCAAGATCTTTTGGTTTATAAATAGTTTTCTTTCCATCTTATTGAAAAGTACTGCAATTGTATGGAAAAAGCAAGAGTTTAGTGTCAGGCAGACTTGAATTTGAATACTGACTGTACAACTTTTTAGCTGGTTGATCTTGGGTAAGTTAATTTCTTTGAGTCCCAGTTTTATCATCTATTGGGAACATAGAATAGTTTACCTGGCACAGAGAAAACATTAATTAATTAAAAATTATCGAGCATCTACTAGGTGATAGGCATTATACTCAAGAGATAAAAGAAAAAAGCCAGCCATATGAATATCAAGGGAAGCACTTTTCAGGTAGAGGGAATGAGGAGTGCAAAAGTCCTGGGGAAGAGTGTGATTGGTGGGTTTAAGAAGGGCATTGAAGTCAATGTTATTGGACTGGATTGGGCAAGGGGGAAAGAGGAAATGAAGTCTGAAAGGTGGTATGCAGGAACCAGATCAAGAGATCTTGTACTTTAAAAGAGATGGGGAGCCATTGAGAGTTTTGAGTAGAATAGTGATATCATCTGACGAATTTGAAAAAAAAAATCTTACTGTGCTTGTTAATGCAAAATGTACTATTGGGAACAAAGACAAAGCACAGAGACAGTCAATGGACAACTGGGAAGGTAGGAGACCAACTCACTGTCTTTCCTCATGCCAGCACCTAGACACTTCTGCAACCTGCAGGCCGGGCAGTGGCGCCTCAGGGTCTTGCTGATCTCACAGCTTCCAGCAAAGGGACAGGTGAGACCCGTGCTTTTACTGACTGCTCGTCTGTGAAAGTCAGACATTTTTGTTTTTTAGTTGTAGATGGACACTTACCTTTATTTTATTTATTTTTATGTGGTGCTGAGGATTGAAACCAATGCCTCACACATACTAAGCAAGCACTCTAGACCACTGAGCCATAACCCCAGCCCCAACAGAGACATTTTTTTTTAAAGAGAGAGTGAGAGAGGAGAGAGACAGAGAGAGAGAGAGAATTTATTTATTTTTTAGTTCTCGGCGGACACAACATCTTTGTTTGTATGTGGTGCTGAGGATTGAACCCGGGCCGCACGCATGCCAGGCGAGCACACCACTGCTTGAGCCACATCCTCAGCCCAACAGAGACATTTTTAATTTTTGTGGTACTAGGAATCAAAACCCTCCGGGGGGGGGGAGGCCTTAACCACTGAGCTACATACCTAGCCCTTTTTTTTAATATTTATTTTTTAGTTGTAGTTGGACACGATACTTTAATTTTTATTTATTTTTATGTGGTGCTGAGGATCGAACCCAGGGTCTCACATGTGCTAGGCAAGCACTCTATCACTGAGCCACAATCCCAGCCCCATACCTAGCCCTTTTTATTTTTTATTTTGAGACAAGGTCTTGCTAACTTGCCCAGGCTAGCCAGGAACTTGCCACCCTCCTATGTCAGCCTCTGTAGCTGGGACTACAGCTGTCTCCCACCTTCACTCAGCAAAGAACTTCAGGAGTGAATAGAGCACAACACACAGGATCATTGGGGCAAGCCTAGTCAATATAGTATTACCTTAGTGCTTTGCAGTGGGCACATAATAAGTACTCTTGAGACACACACACACACACACACACACACACACACACACAGAAAGGGGGGGGAACAAATGGACTGTGTGCATGGGACAAACATTTGGTCCTCTCTTTTATCATGCCATCAGTTTATACAGTGGTGTGGTTGGCAAAATGTAGAGTGCTAGCCACAGAGTAGTGAGACTTAAATACAGGAGTAATGTAGCTGGACAAGGCTGGGCGTGTGCCAGGGTTTAAAGGCTGACTGATAGGAGCTGGGAACAGGGTTGTTTCTATGGAGGAGGAGGGTCTTACCTGAAGAAACCTTTGCAGCCCTCGCACGTCAGAGCATGGAAATGATAGCCTGTGGCTCGGTCCCCACACACCACACAGTTCCTTGGCTCATCTTCCCCACTAGCCATGATTCCAGGTGTTGGTGTGGCTATCATGGACCCCTGAATGTGAGAAGATTTAGCAGACTGCTCTGAGCCACTTGTGACTTTCTCTTCTTTCTATAGAGCCTCTTTCCAAACCTGCCCTGAACCTGGTCCCAGCACTATTTATACTAAAAGCAAGACAGTTGCTTAAGTCTCTGGCCCTGAACAAAAAGTTGTTTTTGTTTTTTTGTTTGTTTTTTTTTTTTTAGGTGGTGGTGGTGGTGGGGGGATACTGGGAATTGAACCCAGGAACCAGGAGTATTTTACTATTGAGCTACATCCCCAGGCAGAATTTTGCTAGCTGAAGCTGATTTCAAACTTAAAATCTTCCTATCTCATCCTCCCAAGCTGCTGGGATTACAGGCGTGCACCACCACACCTGGACCCCAAAAGATTTCTTACCTGCTTCTCTTAGGCAACACACCACAGGCCACAGAATTTGGTGCAGGATGCGTCTTGCCAAATTCCCACAGTGACTCTGCTTTCCTTGTGATCTCAGGAATTAGCAATTATGGTACTTTTCACTACCTGGAAAACAAGGGATGTCTATGTATGTGGCCTCTGGGTGCTCTCAGAGCCCTAGGTAGGTAGGGCACATACTCTGGACCTAGGGCAAAGGCCTGTGTAGGAAGTTTACCAGCATGCCTAAGGTGCTGGTTGGTGGCACATGGGGAGGGTTCCTGGTGGGCGGGACCTTATGACTCATTAGAAGCTGCTTCTTATCAGACTCACCAAGTTTTTTTTCTACTTTTGAACTTCAGGGTAGATCTGCAGCCTCCTCTATACATGGATCCTGGACAAGCTGTGAGGGAAAGAAAGGGAGAGACAGAGCAAACTTTTCACATGCACTATGTCAGTAGTAAAATTAACTATTTTACTAACAATGATATCTTACAATTATACCAGACTCAGAAAAGTTCTTTTAAAAAAGACTTTAAAATTAGGCTTCAGAAAGAAAGAAAATGGAAGGATGTAATAAAAAAAAATTAAGAGCCAGGCAGAAGGGCTGGGTTTGTGGCTCAGTGGGAGAGTGTTTGCCAAGCACATATGAGGCACTGGGTTTGATCCCCAGAGCAACATTAAAAAAATAAAATAAAATAAAGGTATTGTGTTCATCTACAACTGGAAAAAAAAAAAAAGTCAGGCTTGTAATCTCCAGAGACTTGGGACAACAAGGTAGAAGGATCACAAATTCAAGTCCAGTCTCAGCAATTTAGGACCTGTCTCAAAATTAAAGACAAAAGGGCTGTAACTGTAGCTCATTTGTCTACAATTGTAGAGCATTTGTCTAGCTTCCTTGGGTTCAATTCCCAGCTTATATTAAAAGAAAAAGAAAAAAAAAAAGGCTGGGAATGTAGTTTAGTGGTTAAGTGCCTCTAGGTTCAATCCCCTGTAAGTGAGGTGGGAGGAATCGGTCTAACTAAGAGCCTAGAAGAGGGTCCCATTTTCTTGCTATGAATGGCTGAGAATTAATTCAGAGTGAATTCTAGTAAATCAGAGGTAGCTGGGGTTGATTTGTGAACTCCTGTGCCAGAGCTGACTTCAGGTGTGACCTATGTAGTTGCACTAGGCCCTGCATTCAGAGGAGTTCATTGCTTGGGTCAATGCTCTCTGCTCTGCAGTCCTGAAATAAGATTTTTTTTTTAAATAAGGGTTTTCATTTTTCAGTGGGTCTCCAAAACTATGTACACAGCATGTCTGGAGTTAAGATGAAGGACTTCTGATTAATGTGTTTAAGAATCAGAAGTAGGGGGGTTGGGTTTGTAGCTCAGGGTTAGAATGCTTTCCTAGGATGTATGAGGCACTGGTTTCAACCCTCAGCACCACATCAACAATAAATAAATAAAAATAAAGTCATTGTGTCTATCTACAACTAAAAGAAAGAAACAAACAAACAAAAAAATTAAGCAGGGTGCAGTGGTGCATGCCTGTAATCTCAGTGGCTGGGGAGGCTGAGACAGGAGGATCACAAGTTCAAAGCCAGCCTCAGCAATTTAGCAAGGCTCTAAGCAACTCAGTGAGACCCTGTCTCTAAAAAAAAAAAAAAAAAAAAAAAAAAAAAAAAAAAAAA